GCTGAGAATCTGCCCTTTCAGACACACTTGGTACCAATGATGTTCAATTGCTTCCAAGTTCGCTAACTATTTCCTCGAAAGAGATTAGTCAAGGTCAATCAGTTAGTAGCAGTAAAAGCAATTAAGCTGCAAATAACGCAGACCGATTTTGCACGGATCGAGCTGTACCATACCGATCGCAAAGGGTACCTGGCGGTTAAGAGATTCTGTTGAGGCTACTTCCTTCATAGCTTTTGTCATGCGTAAGTATCTAGATGGGTGTAGTTTAGCCCTTCCGTTACCTTCATTTACCAGTTGACTCAAAAGCACTGGCGCGATCACAAATGCGGTGCTTATCACTCTCATCTCCCTGGGTGGACGTTAGGAAGAGTGTGATTTTTGTTGGTGGTTTATGATGAAAAGGAGCTCTGTGCTGGGATAAAGGGGCGCCCCAAGGGTCCGAGTGATCAACAACACCCCCCTCGTTACTGATTGAAGGCAATGCCATGGTGCGTTAATGTAGTAATCCTAACGCACTGAAGTTCAAAGCGCAAAACCCATAGGCTTTTCGTCAGCGCCAAGCTGAAATGGTCAGGAAAAGTAGGTGCCTGGCACGAGATTGCTGAGATGAGTAAACGCCAGACAGGAATCAAAGCCATAGCAATCACTACTCTTAAAATGCGGGAGAAACGGATTAGAAACTCTGCCTGAGGCAGTGTTCCTTTCATATGGCACCCTTGTGATGCCTTTTGCATCACGAATTGCGAATACAGTCGAGAGAACAAGACAACTGAAAAATATGGATGCCCAGCCTTCCTGCAATGTTGAGATAGCTAACACGACCTCAATGATTCGGACTTGTACGAATTTACAAACAGGACTTTTAGAAAATAGCCATTCTATTGTGGCTTATAAGCACACTGAGGCGCATCTTAATAAAAATTTACCCCGGAGAATTCTTGCATTCTTTCGAAACACGAATATGTCAGTTGTGATCACTAGAGACAAATTAGAATGTTTCACGCAAGAAGATTCAGGTAAACGAACCTACAAAAACCACAGACTGGGGACTTCGCTGGTAGGTCGGGCGGAGACAAGGTAACGTATGGAAAGAAGTGCTTCTTGGTGAGGGGACGTGAGAGGCGACGCTTCGAAAGAATCGAATTAAGCGTTTGAATCCGGGAAATAGAGACAAAACGATTGATAGAGTAGGATGCAGTAGAAGAGAGAAGTTGTTGCCATAGGTGGAGCCAAAAAGAGCTTCTAGTTGAGGCACTCCGAGAACCAATGGAATCCCGCTCGCCAACATTGTGACAGATGGACGGCGGGAATTCGAACGCTTAAGAGATCTCCGGATTTTTCGAGTTGTTTACGAAAACTAACACGACCTTTTAGATCTTTTTGTACTTATCGTGAACGATGGATTTAAAGCTGGGTGAAATAGAATCATAATTCTTCCGTGGAGAACTTCTTTGATAGATGGAATCTTCCTTTCGTGACCAGTATTCCGATGAGATCATCATTGGATTGCTTACATTTAGTGTAGAGAACGTGAATAAATTAATAATTTGGTCTAAACTCGAGACATTGACCTACA